ACAAACCGCTAAAGACCAATTTAAGGTACCGTACAGACTTAGCGAAAGTTTAGTGCAGGGAATCCCAAAGTGGTCGATACCGACCCCTTGGGGACGTAATTGGTTTCCCAGGGGTCAATATAAATAAAAACTGATTTTGGGGGTCGACGAGGTCTTAAAATCGAACGCTATTAATTAACACAAGTTCTAATTTGAAACTTTCAAAATACTGCATAAGTTATGTTACGTGTACCAAGTTGTTATAAGACTGACTAATGTGTAGGGGGAAGTCCCGTAGCGCCGGACGGCACCTAGCGCCGGACACTCATACTATTTTGACAAACGTCAACGCGATCTATTTATAAATCGGTGAAAGGGGTGCGGGGGAACGTAGCGAGACAGGATCACGCAACGCGATTTGCCAGTGAGACGCACAGTCGTGGTGGAAGCCGTGAATTGCTGTTTTTGGTGGGAAAGCGTTGCGTCACGTAAATTTTAAGTAAGTATTACTGCTATGGTTTTATCCTTAATTGTTTTTGTTATTTGTTAATAAAGACAGTGTTTCACTATAATTATTATATTGTGAAAGTTTTTATTAAATACCTAAACAGTTTTAGTATGAGATACGTAATTTTGGACGTTTCCTGTCCCCTACTTTCGGACACAAAGGTGTCCCTTACCACCGGACAGTTTATAGGTTAGCTTTTTTATGAAGCATTTGTACTTATTGTAATGATGATTGTTTGTTGTTTTACAGGATAGAAGGAGAGAGATATTTGAAAATGCAAGAGAGAAAAAAAAAGGAAAATGGGATCAGCAAAGTTTAAAAACTGCGATGAACAAGATTTTGTCCAAAAAAATGAGTTTGAGGGCAGCTTCGTCACGTTACAATGTTCCAAAAAGTACTCTACATGATAAAATAACGACATTGAGCAGTGGAAAAGAAGTCACGTTGCAACCAAAAGTTGGTAGATTCACAAAAACCTTCTCACCCGAGTATGAGCAAGTTTTAGTGGACCACATAAGAGATTTGTCTAATAGATGTCTGCCCCTGATGAAAAACGAGTTTTTGAAGTTAGCTTACGACTTGGCTGAAGCTATTAAGATTCCCCATGAGTAAACAAACCAAACGTGGCAATAACGACAACAAAAAGGAGCCGTTAACTGAAGTATCAAATATAGAAAAAACGACTTGTGTAGTGTGTTTAGAAGACTACGACGAGGACTGGATACAATGCTCCAGATGCCAATAATAGGCTCATGAAGCATGTGCAGACGTTCCAGAATGTGGAGATGCCTACATATGTGATAGATGCTAAAAGTTTTAGAATGTCCGGTGCTTGGGGTTTGAAGATAAACCGTCCGGCACTAGGTGCCAATGTCAAAGTCCTTTATTTTTTTACCAAAACTTATTTAACATTCCTAAACTATGTTTACGCAGAATTTGTATTTTTGTTATTTGATTTTGATTTTATGTTTTGTTAATTTAAGTAATTCATAAATAAATACATATTTTTCGATGTAGTTTTAATTTTATTTCCTGAAAACCTTATGTGTCCGGCACTAGGGGACTTCCCCCTATTGTATGTTTATTTTGTTAAATTTTGATGAGAAAATGATGTAAGGTTTACTCATTTGACTCACGCCAAAGTTTTTAAATTGGTAAGTTTCTTGTATATATAAACCGGTAATGCATGCCTCATATTTTACATTATTGTACTCGTATATAAGGAGTAAACCAGGTGGAGTGACGATTTGCGCAAGATGGCTGGCAGGAGCTGGATACGAGAAGCCCAAAATCGATCTAAGTGGCGTGCAATGGGAGAGGCCTATGTCCAGCAGTGGACTGCGATAGACTGATGATGATGATGATACTCGTATACACATAACAGAAATAGTTTTGCCTGTCTGTCAATGTACGTAAATATTATGTATACTATTCTACATAATAATAAGCCTACTATTTAGGCAACTACTTACAGATAAAAGGTTGCTAACTATGCTACAGGGGTATTAGTATAATAGGAAGTTCTAGTTTATTTCGGAAAAGAGGTCTCTTGCCCAAAAAAGTTTGGGAATCTCTGGTTTAGCGTCTCAAACATAGGCTTACTATCCAGTATATAACACTGGTGATTTTGGTCATCAAACTAAAACTTCGTGGATAAGAGTTCTGTCAACCTCACTCACTATTAAAAATAAGCTTGTACTTGACAGCGTCGTGTGAGATAGTAGCACTTTCTTATGTTTTGCCGGTGTATGAATGTATATTTCTTTGGCAAGGCCTGTAGCTTATTGGGTTTATGGATTTTTCCGTTTAAGGTGTCGTTGGATTTGTCTTAATTGCGAGTGTGATAATGGGTATATGAAAATTTTAATCGTATATTGTATTATTTTTTTCTTTTATGTCAGTGGTGGCTGACGAGCAGACGGGTCACCTGATGGAAAGTGACTACCACCGCCCATGAACGTTTGCAACTCAGGAGTCACAAACACGTTGCCGGCCTTTTAGGAAGGAGTACGCTTTTTTCTTGAAGGTTTGAAGGTCGTATCGGTCTGGAAATACCGCAGACGATAACCCGTTTCACAGATTGGTTGTGTGGGGCAAAAAGTGTCTCGAAAAGCGCACTGTAGAGGAGCGCAAACTATCCAGGTGATGAGGATGAAAATTTTGCGTGTGGAACGATGGCGATTTATTTAATAATTAGCTTTTTATTTCCTAATTGTGAGTACTTGTAAGTGAAAAATTTATGTACGTAGGCAGTTCCCTAACAAAATTCTTACAAATAATATCTTTAAAGTACTACCAGGTTCCTGATGATGTCCATGTCACACAGTTAATTTTTAAACTCAAGCTATTGAAGCGAACTATGAAATTGAAACCATGAAAGGGAAATATTATTCTATTACCCAAATACATATATTTTAGTACACTTTTGATTCTAAGTCATCTTTCACAAGTAACTTTGTCACACTGAATTTTTTTCAAAGAATCCCTCAACACAGCAATGAGCCGTGTAGCTGGCTCGGCCACCGGCAAATTGTTATCCACGCGTAATCGCAGCCTAAGCCGGCTAGAACTGCTGCATTGGTTTGTCGGCATTGAAATTCGTCGATAGGCGAGGCTACTTGAAATATTCATTATTAAACAAGACACAGGCTGCAGCAAACGTTGAACTGGATAGCAAACGAACCCTTTACCTAACAATTTTAGTCTTTAATTTCATAGAGTAATGAATGTAACAATGTGTGAAGTGAAATGAGTGGAGTTGGTATTCATACGCATTAATAATCGTAATAATCCCAATTCGTCAGCGCCGCAGTTTACGAGCACTGACTTCTCTCTTTTCTTTCCTCAACTCTCCATCGTTACCTGAATACCTCGTACCCCACTTCCGTTTCCTATGCTCCAATCACAATCGAAATCTTCTATCAACCAACAATATGCTTCTTCACACCTCCAACTTCATCAACTCCTCCCTCTACGTAAAGTCAGTTTTTCTCTGGAATGCCCTCCCTGCGGAAATCAGGATGTCAACAAACCTCCTTGCATTCAAGAGAAAAGTGCGCGATCTTCTTCGGAGTGAATTGACGGAACAGGTACAGCGCTAGTACCTGACTGAGTATTTATATATTTTATTAAATTTATGTAGGTTTATGTATGCATGTGTGTTTTTACATATTGTGTATGTTTCTGGACCTAAATTTTGTTAAATTTCTTAATTTTCTACATCACCTGAAGGTTGACTGGGAGACAATGCCTAATGGCGTTAAGTCCGCCTTTGTACAATGTATCCAGAAATTACAGACTTTTTTTGGTTTAGGAGGCAAACGAGCAGAACTACCGTCATCCATGGACACAAAGTGTCCATGGTTAAGGTAAAATAGTCCATTTTGTTATATGTGATACTCATAACAAAATCTTATCACTTCGTCCACATTTAAGAACATAAAAAGTGAGTGTCTGGAAAAGTTTTCAAACAGGTATACCTATGATAATAACCGTTTACCGTCCTATAAACACCAACAATACAAAGCGTGTTATCAGCGTATAAATATAAACTTAACTTCGATTGTCCAGGAATAGTTTCAAAGTTTAATTGCTGCATGTTTGAGTTCCAATTCCGCGAACGTTCAATGTAAAACACGGCACAATACAGTGGACTCAGACCCTAACTTTATCTGTGAGAATTATCTAAAGCATATTCAAATAAGTTTGTTCGTTACCGAGGTTCACAATTAGGGTTCTAGTGCTGGCAACATTTGCATTCCATCAAAAGTTTAAATTCCAAAAGTGTTGAGATTATTTAAATAGAACCGCTACTAAGTTTAATTGGAACTTTTTTAAATTCTTTTTTTTTTGTTTTAAGAAGAAAACTCCTGCAATAGGAATAAATACTGTGTCGCGGGGGACTTTACAAACATACATGAAACGGACACAAAGAACCCCCAGACTCAGAACAACAATTTGTGAATCACACAAAGTGTAGTCCCATGTGCGTATCTGACCCTGACTGTTTAGTTATGACACGTGAACTCTTAAAATTTTATTACGTTTTACCAGGCCTAGTTTTAATACGTCTCAGTAGCTACACAATTTAGTTATATATGGTCTGTATGTGTTGTGTCTTTCGATTGCTGCAGACAACATTACTTTCATTTTCAATGCTTATGCATTTTTGCTAAGCCAGAGGTTGGGAGTCGATTCCAAACAGGATAAATATTGTATAACCAGCATGAGCATTTGTTCTGTATCTGGGTGTAAATTATCTACAATTTATATAAAGATATTTATCAGCAGTCTGGTTACCATAGTTAAATACCAAGTAAGCAAAAGTATATCATACTCAGCCCGGTTTAAGATCAGATTGCCGTGAAGTGTAAAGTTATCATTATTATTCTTTAATGCGTGACTGTGACCATCCACCACCACAAACATCAGAGAGATAAAGGAATTTTTATTTTTTGTATTTATGTCACTTTTCAGCCAGTATAAAATTGAAATGTAGAATCGAAGTATAGAGTTAAAGAATAACATGGATCGAATAAAGAGTAGAAAAATAACTCACCTGAGTGATACTCCAGTATCTATCCAGTGAGATGAGACACAGGTTCATGATGGACGCCGTGCACAGCAAAACATCCATCGCCGAATGTATCTCACACCACCAAAACCCGAAGATCCAGTACCCCATGAGCTCATTCGCCAAGGAGAACGGCATTATTATAAGCCCAAGGAAGAAGTCCGACACCGCTAATGACGCTATGAACCAATTTTGTATGTTCTTAAGCGCTTTCTCTGTTACTATCGCGATGATCACCAACATATTACCCACTACCACCATTATCATCAACACTGTCACAACCACTGACGCTATTATTATATGTGCCGGCGAGTACCCACTTGGGTACCAAGTCTTTAGAACTAAATTCACTGTCGTATCATTCGATAACGTCGTATTAGCGTCTGATGCGTTAGTCATTTGCAGCGCAAAGAACTCCTCCTGGCTCATATACGTCGGCACTAAGAACGTCGAATTCAAACCGATTGTCGTATTCAAATGTGTCGTCATCGTCGTACGAGCAAACTGAGTCGTATTCGGCACCATTTTGTTGTAAAATTGAACTAACTAATTTATTGTTTGACTGAGTTTTGGCCCCGTAGAAATAATTATGTATAATTGATTTAAAAAAAGTATTGCCTTTAGGAACGGAACGTCCATATATGTGTATACTTCTAAACCCGTGTCACCGAATGAGAAGCGAGATTATATCATTAATCTAATATTGCTTGAGATTAGAAAATTAAATTAACTAGCAAATAAACTATACGGATATATGCGAACACACTAAAAAGCCGAACACTAAATCTTAAAGGCGAAATTAAAAATTATTTTTATTTTATACAGTCGAATAATCTTTGAGGTGTCATCGTCCGATTTTATGCTTTCTTTTGTCCCAAAGCCAGTGGAAATTCGCGTGCATGATGTTCGTGATGGTTCTCATGGCGTCATGGCGTCATTGGACTGCCATCGCGAACGGCTCTCGCGTGACTGTTTACTGGGTCGTCATTAACGCTGAAGCATTGTTACCAAGTGCCTCTGCCGTCTCTGTCTCCAGTCGACGAGTATCTGTAACAATGAAAAACATTAAGTTGTCAGTTACATAAGTTTAATAGATGTAATATGATTATTAAGACGATTTCTGTTGCGTGTTAATATTTATTTCATCTGCTTTTAGTTTGTCTGGCTTAGATTCTTTTTAAAATTAATAATAATAATAATTAACTTCTTTCCAAAACAATTATACATAGAAATTTACAGTAAATGTTAGTTACAGGACAATTTTAGTCGTCTGTAAGATCGAAATATCCATGTTCAATTAGTGAAAAACCCTGCCTTTTAAACTAGGTGGCACCTGTATCTTAAAAGATATTCGGCCATATACGATATTAGATAAAACTTTTCTAATGCAAAGCAGTTGTAAATGCTTTTTGTATTAAAATAAATTAAAATAAGTGAATGAGAGTGTGTGTGTGTGTGTGTTTGCAGGCGCGTGGGTGTGTGTGTGTGTATGCATGAGTGTGTGCGTGCGTGTGTATGTGTGTGAGTGCGCGCTCGTGAGTGAAAGTATTTGTGTTTAATTTGTAGTTTTATGCGATGTAAGTAAGCAATGAATCTGTACTGAAATAGTCTATTTTTAGTCTTGTTTTAGTAGCCATTCGGTCAAGACGAGTATTAATGTGTTTATGTTCATTTCGAGTATATTGAGTTTTTTGTGTATTTCTTTGTAAATGTGCGTGCTGAGTATACAATAGTGGTGTAGTATTACATTATCATACATCTTTTCATTTATCATTGGAAATAATTTATTTAATTTATACAAATCAGAACAACAATCTCTCACATCAACCTTGAGCCTAAACCACTGGAGGTACAAACTTGACATTTTGGCAGCTACTAAGAAATAACTTTAGGAAATTTTACCCCTTAGGTGGTAAAATAAGGGATAAATATAATAACATAAAAAATATTTCGGACATCTGACACACAACGCCATCTAGTTTCAACCTAAGCAGAGCTTGTACTATGAAAGCTAGAATGACTGATAGAATATTAATGTACTCTTTTTGTAAATACAAATACATATTATTAATAGGAAACATCCAAACTCCGACATAAATATTTGCAGATCATTTAGTCCGAACCGGAAATTGAACCGCTCACAAAAAAAGCACAGCAGTCGCATACGCTACCACTGCGCCACCGAGGCAGTCTATGGAATGAACGAATGTATGGAAATTAATCACTTTCAACGTTAGAACCACAAAATAAGAAAAAAACGCGAACTAAGCTATGAGCGATCCTAGTATAAAATGATTATCACGAGCAAACATTTTTATCTACAAATAATTTATTAAAGCAAAACACGCAAATACATTAGTTCAATAAAAAAAAATCTTCGTAAGCATTAAAATTAGGTTACACCAACAAAGGTACAAAACGGACCCTATTTATCGAGCACTCAACGAATTAAGCAACACGTTTATCAATGGACGAATAAAAAGTAAGTTCAACTAAAATAATTTAACGATCTACAAATAGAAACGCCGTGTTCTGTATAAGCTTTTTTTAATGTAGTGCTTAAACTGGAGCGATTTTTATGGTACATGCGGGAGAACGAGCAAGTCGGTCATTATTTATCATCACTCACACACACACACACACACATATATATATATATATATATATATATATATATACACACACACACACATATATATATATACACACACACACACACAAACATACACACACATACACACGAGTTGGTATAGGGTTTGTATCAAGTTTTCCTTCTCTTTGCAGTGCTTTTGTACTGCGTAGTTTACGACACCCACAGGATGAATAGGGGTGGTGACACGACGTATTCTTAATCCGTCTCCACACGCAGGTGTCACTTGATGGTAAGCAACCACAACCGTTTATGGACAGCTGCAACTTAAGATTCACAATTCCATTGCCGTCCTCTGAGTTCCTCCCCCTAAATTCAGAGGTTTGGGCTCCTGTGACCTCACTTACTCGATGAAAAGCTACGAAATAATTGCTTAACACCGGTTTTAGTGAGGCCGTAGTATCACTCCGTGTCCTTCCCGAACTATATATCCCACTTTTTTTTCCTGTGCGGAAGTCCCTTCGGAAATCACCCACCGGTGGGGTGATTATGTCGGACTCGAACCAACCAAAACCCGCACGCCGTCTTGGGTACCAGTAGCCGGGGCACCAGGTGTACCATAGAAAGGCAATACCTGACTATGCAGCCCACTATAGGCACTAAAAGATTTTTTTTGAATAAAAAAAAGGACAAGGATACAGAAAAACTAGCCTAGCAAAATAAGGTTCAAAATCCAACAACATTAAAAATAACATCAGTTTTCAAAACTCAAAAAGAGAAATCTTAAAAGAAAATAAGTTTGAACGAATAAAATCTTTATTATCTAATAAAACAAAAAGATTTTGTTTTCGACAACAGATGTCTCTGTCTCATTAAAGTCGGATTGTAATACTATACCGAGGTTTAATTATTATACTTTTCGCTTTTATTCAGAAAACAACATTTGGATAGAAGCATTAACATAAAAAAAAAACTGTCGGTGGGTAAACGCAAAACTTAAGGAGAGGTGGGTGGATTTCCTTGAATCTATACATTAACACACTACTAAAAGGGTGCTCGGAATGTATTAAATGCACGTAGTTTGTTGATCATAATTTTAGTTCCATTTACATACATCAACTTAACTCCGATATGGAAATAACCCGTTGAAGTTGCTACGCGAAAGGTAGCTTCGAAATCGCTTTCGTAATCGCGAATCGGCACATTTCTTGCTGTATACTCATTACACGTTTGGAATAAAACTAAATTGGCTTGAAAATCTAATTTTTGACTAGGTACAAGACCGATGAATAAAGAAAGCAATAAATAGACACATGAATATAAAATGAAGTCACTTTTTTTCTTATACGCTTAGATGTTTCGTTTGTGCCGAAGCTTGGCTATCCGATGTATAAATATGAATACCGCGTACGAATGTTTTTATTCCAATACAATCTTGATAGCGATTATACCTACCCTGTAATAGAAGTCTTAGGATATAACGTCAGATATGAAAGTAACCTCCTCCTATGACAGCAATCTCTACTAAGAATAAAACAGGCACAAAAGAAATAAGAAATAAACCAAAAAAACTTCATTAAAATTCGTAAAGCGAACACGAAATTGAGTTTCGAAATTAAAAACCGGATTGTACTGGATTGAAAAGGTATTCAATGAATATTTCATGAATATCACCAGATGATCTGATATATCGACGATATTTATTGGTAAAATTTTAAATAATTAAGTGTTGCCAGTAATTATAAATTGCCAGCAATGTGTCATCGTATATTGTTACACGGGGTCGGTGTTGCCATATAATATTTCTCCCTGAAACATTGTTAAAGCGGTTTTCGGAACTGGTAAATACCATTTTAAATGTACAGAAATGTATGTTTAAACTTCTTTTTTTAGTAATAAATTATTTTGTTGCTTGTTCAAATGTGTCGATATTTTTCAATTTCTATTTTACACTTGAAATTGTTAAAAAAAACATACATGTAGTAAATGACTGCTTACAAGTTTTTTTTAAGTTGCTTTCTTTTAAAAAAGTTTTATGATAGTGACACCTTACGCGAGCTAAATGTTTGTGCACTGGGTGAGATTTGACTGCACGGATGGCGTAGTGGTTTAAGCGGTCGCCACCGCTTCCTACTGCGCAGAGTGTTGTGGATTCGATCCCCACATGGGACACCGCTTTGTGTGATCCACAAATTGTCGTTCTGAGTCTGTTCTTTGTGTCCGTTTCATGTACGTTTGTAAAGTCTCTCGTGCCAAAGCCTCTCTCTTTAAAAAAGACAACTCCCGCATTAGGGATATATATCATCCCTAATGCGGGAGTTGTCTTTTTTAAAGAGAAAGAGAACCCACAATCACTTTGCCACAAATATAAAGTTCTGGCCATTACACTAACATGACCACGTAATCGATCAGAATGCCTTTTTTGCCAAATTTATTGACCCCTTTAATATGTATGAATATCAGATTACGTAGGGAAAAGGTTAACTTACTGTAATTCAATATTTATATATTTAATATCCTAAATAAACTTGAAATTAAAATAAGTATGTATTGTTTTCTTAAATTCTAAACCGTTTAAAAAGTAAATTATGGCCTTTAACAGTCCACTCTGGACTCTTTCAGGCCTTGGCTTAGAAAGGAGGTTTTGGCCCTTTTCCAGCCGGTCGGGGCTTTTTTTCGCCGGGTTGGTTTAGGGTTTTTTTCAAATTTTACCTGTCACCAAACGGAAAAAGTACCTACAACAGACATTAAAAGAGATTAATACTGACCTGTGACGGAATACCGTATGGATTAATCGGTTTAAGTCCGACATACCACCTCATTCTCGAATCATAGGATTTCCACGTAAGAAATCAACACAGAGTGAACAAAAACATTATAATAAAAAAAAAATTGTTAGCAATATTTCGGATTCGTTTAAAATTTAAAATCAATC